GAAAAGGTTTTACTGGTAATTTTTTTTTTTTTTTTGGTGGAACCGGGGATTGAACTCAGGCCTTTGCACTTGCCAGGGAAGTGCTTATTCCACTGAGCCATCTCCCCTGTCCCTTTTATTATATTTTGAAGCAAGATCTTTTTTTTTTTTTTTTTTTTTTGTGGAACCAGGGGTTGAACTCAGATCCTTGTGCTTGCCAGGGAAGCACTTACTCTACTGAGCCATCTCCCCGGCCCCTGAAATAAGATCTTGCTAAGTTGTCCAGGTTGGCCTTGAATTTGTGATTCTCCTATCCTAACCTCCTGAATACCTAGGTTTACAGGCTTGTAGGGTTGACTATTTGTTAAGAATAATGAACAGATACTGATACATAATTATTAAATAATTTATTCAGATCAGTCTGTACTCTATTTTCTCTCTCTTTTTTTTTTTTGTTTTTTGTTTTTGTGGAACCAGGGATTGAACTCAGGATCTTGCGCTTGCCAGAGAAGCACTTATTCCATTGAGCCATCTCCCTGGCCCCTACTGTCTATTTTCTGTTCAAGAGTCATGTCCATTATTCTTAGCCAGGCCTCCTTAGGTCCCCTATGGTTGTTTCGCTTAGTTTTGATGTTGGAGATTGAACCCAGGCCCTTTGAGCTATACCTCAAACCCTTTTCATTTTAATTTTTACTTTTATATTTTTGAGACAGGGTCTCGCTGTGTAGTTACAGCTGGACTTAAACTCATTGTGTAACCCAAACTGGTCTTGAATCATAGCAATCCTGCCTTAGTACTGAAATTTCAGGTGTGGGCCTCTACTCCTAACCTTAGTTTTGAATTAGGGATCTTCTTAGTCACTAAGATGCCCAGGCTTGGCTCAAACTTGTGGATCTTCTTCCTGCCTTAGGTTCCCAGAATGTCACCTGGGATTGCAGGTGTGTTTTACTATGCCCAGTTAATATGTTTTTTGATAAATTACTCAAGATGGGTTTAAAAATTATACTTCTGTAAATTATTTGCTGATGTTTTCCTCTGTTACAGTGGTCTATCCATTTTAATCCTTATATTCTTCCAGTAGGAAATCCATGAAGTCCAGAAGTAGAAGTCCTGCCTATTCAAGACATTCATCTTCCCATAGCAAAAAGAAGAGATCCAGCTCACGCAGTCGTCATTCCAGTATCTCACCTGTCAGACTTCCATTGAATTCCAGCCTGGGAGCTGAACTCAGTAGAAAAAAGAAGGAAAGAGCTGCAGCAGCAGCAGCAGCAAAAATAGATGGAAAGGAATCCAAAGGTTCACCTGTATTTCTGCCTAAAAAAGAGAATAGTTTAGTGGAGGCTAAGGATTCAGGCTTGGAGCCTAAAAAGTTACCCAAAAGTATAAAATTGGAAAAATGTGCCCCAGATACAGAACTGCAGAATGTAACACATTTAAACACAGAGGTCAAAAATTCTTTAGATACAGGGAAAGTAAAGTTGGATGAAAACTCTGAGAAGCATCCTGTTATGAAAGATTTGAAAGTACAGGGAACAAAAGACTCTAAACCCATAACACTGAAAGAGGAGATTGGTACTCCAAAAGAGCCAGAGATATCAGAAAAGGAGACTCCTCCACCTCTCCCCACAGTTGCTTCTCCACCTCCTTTACCAGCTACTACACCTCCCCCTCAGACACCCCCGTTACCACCTTTGCCTCCACTACCGGCTGTTCCACAGCAGCCACCTCTGCCTCCTTCTCAACCAACATTTAGTCAGGTTCTTGTTCCCAGTACTTCAACTTTACCCCCTTCTACTCACCCAAGGACATCTACTTTATCCTCTCAGGCAAATTCTCAGCCCTCTGTACAGATTTCTGTGAAGACTCAAGTTTCTGTAACAGCTGCTATTCCACACCTGAAAACATCAACATTGCCTCCTCTTCCTCTCCCACCCTTGTTACTTGGAGATGATGACATAGATAGGTAAGTCTCATAGTTAACTGGAAAAATTAACCTCCTTGATTATTCACAATGCTTTTATGAATAGGAAGTACCTTTGATGTTGATGTTTGCTTTTCAGTGAATAAGTCCATTTTCATATTGTTATTACTTGAGAAGAAAGAATTTTGAGGCCTAGAAGTTCTCATAAGTTTATTTATTAATGAAGCTAGTTTTATTTTTTTATTTTTATTTTTTTTTAAGTTTATTTATTTATTGTGTGTGTGTGTGGGGGGGGGCAGCTCAGCCCACCAGGGGGCGGGGCTGGCTGGCATGTGGTGCTGGAGGATTGAACCCTGGTCCCTGTGCTTTGCCAAGCTTGTTCCAAGTAGGTGCTTTAGACCACTGAGCCATCTCTCCAGCCCCAGTTGTTAACATTTTACCAAATTTATTTTTTTGGATTTGTTTTTGTGGTATTAGGGATTTAACCCAGAATCTTGGGTGTGCTAAACAATGAACTCTACCTCTGACCTATATCCTTAGCTGTTTCATTTATTTTATTTTCAGTAGTGAGGATTCAACTCAGGACCTTACAAATATCAGGCAGGTATTCTGCTGAACTGTATCTTTTTTTTTTTTTTTTTTTTGCGGAACCGGGGATTGGACTCAGATCCTTGTGTTTGCCAGTCAAGCGCTTATCCTACTGAGCCATCTCCCCGGCCCCTGAACTGTATCTTCAGCCCTCACAGCCCTTTCAGTTTAGGACAGGATCTTCTTTGTTGTCTTTGTCTTCGTCTTCGTCTTTGTCTTCTTCATCTTCTTTGTCATCGTCCTTGTTGTTGTCTTCTTTCTTCTTTTTCCTTTCTTCTCTTTTCTTCTTTCTTCTTTTTCAGACGGTGTCTCACTATGCAGCTCAGGCTGGTCTTGATCTCACTTTGTAGCCCAGGCTGGCCTCGAATTTGGCAATGATCGTCCTGCCTCAGGCTCCTGAGTGCTGGGATTAAGGCAGGGTGTTTTTAAATTGTCCAAACTGGCATAGAATTCATAGTTGGCCTCCCAAGTAGCCAAAATTACAGGTGGGCACCACCATAGTTGATTCTACCTTTGTTTTCAATGCATATATTCTTTTTTTCAAAACTGGGGATTGAACTCAGGCCCTTGTACTTGCCAGGCAAGTGCTTATTCTACTGAGCCATCTCCCTGGCCCCTCAATGTGTATATCCTGACACTTCGAATATTTGGCATGCTTTTTCTATATAATCACAATACCTTCACCATCTTGAAAAACTTAATGTTGATTTACTTTTTTTTTGTGTGTGTGGCTGACTCAGCCCACCCTAGGGGAGGGGCTGGCCGGCATGTGATGCTGGGGGATCGAACTGCTGTCCCTGTGCTTTGCCTAAGCTTGCCTAAGCAGGTGCTTTAGACCACTGAGCTATCTCGCCAGCCCCTTAATAATGATTTAGTAATAGTATTCTTTTTTTTGCGGAACTGGGAATTGTAACTCAGGCCCTTGCATTTGCCAGGCAAGCGCTTACTCTGCTGAGCCATCTCCCCAGCCCCTAGTAATAGTATTAATAGTCATAGTTTGTGCCAGCCCTGTCCCCAGGTGTTCTGAGCTGGCACCAAGCTGGGCGTGGTGGTGCATGCCCGTAATCCCAGCGCTGGGGAGGCTGAAACAGGAAGATCACTATAGTGAGACCCTGTACCAAATACATTTTTTAAAAAATAGTTATAGTAACATAATGATAGTGTTTAAGTAGCTACAGCAGTCTCTAAAATGTTTATTGTTTTTTTTTTTTTTTTTTTTAATGTTTTTAGGTCAGGGTCTACAGGGTCTTACTACACAGATAGGACTTGTAATGATCCTGTTTTTAGCCTTGCAAGTACCTGTTTTTTTTCCTTCTTTTTTGAAATGAGGTCTCACTCAGTTGTCTGACTGGCTTTTGGGGGGGATACTGGGAATTAAACTCAGGACTTGTTCTTGCCAGGCAGGTGTTATGCTGCTGAGCTGTATACCCAGCCCTTTGTAACTAGCACTGACACTTTCCTCCCACATCATGCAGGTAGCTGGGATTTTTATTTATGTGTGTGTGTGTGTGTGTGTGTGTGTGTGTGTGTGTGTTTGTCTTTTTGAGACAGAGTCTCACTATGCAGTTTAGATTGGTTTTGAACTTTGAATTTACTTGCTCTGGAACTTGCAGCAATCTTCCTGCCTCAGTCTCCAAAGTGCTGGGATTACAGGTGTGTCTACCATGCCTACCTTGGTAGCTCAGATTGTAAATAAGCACCACCATGCCTGGCTTTCCAAAATGTTGGTTTTTTTTTTTTTTTTAATGTATTTATTT